TCCTCATCTACGGGATCCTGTAGATGGCTACCCTCCATCAAAGACGTTTACCACAAACTCTGCCTAGGGAGAGTGAGAAGCATCATCAAAGACTCCTCTCACCCCAATCACAGACTGTTCACTCCTCTCCCATCGGGGAGACGTTATAGGAGTCTTCGCTGTCGCACCAGCAGACTCAGGAACAGTTTCTTTCCCTCAGCGGTCAGCCTACTGAACTCCAATCCCAGGCGCTGAACACTACATCCTAGATGGACCACCTAATGCTTAACTAAAAAAACTAAAAAAAAACTGTCTGCACTCCTCACTCACAATGTTCTTATTATACCCTCTGTTATTTTGCACATTTCTCTGATATTTTGCACATTCCTTTGCACATTTTTACCTCCGGATGCCGTTTGCACTGTTATGGTCATTGGCCATATATAAACATATGCTATTTATGTACCTCACTGTATAATGCACCTTCTGTTTATACTCACTGTATAATACACCTTCTGTTTATACTTTCCTTGCACCCTATGTTGTATGTACAGTCATTTGCATTGAGCTGGTCTCTGCCCTCCTACCTCATAACTTGCACTATATGTCATAAAGCTTAATGTACTGTATATACACAATCTATATGTATTTATATACTCTGTTATTTGCACTTCTGGTTAGATGCTAACTGCATTTCATTGGCTCTGTACTTGTACTCTGCATACTGACAATAAAGTTGAATCTAATCTAATCTAAATCTAAAGAGGAGATGCCATTTTTGTCACTTTGACCGTGTCTGCATGATGAAAATATGTGCAATGAATAAATACCTGCACTGCAAAAAATGCTTTGCTTACTTAGAATTTGTGTCTCCTTGTCTCCAGTCAAAATCTCAAAATATTCTTAAATCAATATGCATTTTCTACATAAAAAAGACATAAGGTATTTAGTCTTGCTTCCATGGGGGGAAAAAATAATTTAAGTGCATTTTTCTTATTTTGCTAATTATCTGCCAGTGGGGTAAGAAATTAAAAATATGCATGTTGCCGTATCATTTTTCATCTATAGAAATTGCATCTTAACGTAAGAATTTTTAGATTTTTTTACTTGAAAGACAAAAAGTACTCAGTAAGAAAAGCATTTTTGCAGCGTGAATGAATGAATGAATGAGGTATTTAAACATCGCTTACACTTTAAAAAGGGGAAGGAGACCGTAAGAAACTCTGGGTTTACCAAAGAAAACCTGCTTCCAACCAGGTTAGGTTCATAGAGTAAGTCACCACGGTGGCTGACTCTGAAATAAGTTACCTCTCTTTTAGAAACGGGCTTGACTTACTCTGCTTTCTCGGGTTTGACAAACCTCCCATTCTGAAACAGAAAACCCAGAGTTTCCCTAATTTCAGGGTTAACATACTCAGAGTTTTAATTTAACCTCCTTTCTGAAACAGGCCCCAGGTACAGCATTGCACTTGAGATGTGAAGCACTTGGGTACAAGGCTTGATTAAATAGCTCAAAGACTTAAAGTAAACTAAAATGACATGGTTGCTTCAGCAAATGTTTTTATCTCTTGTTTGCTTTAGTTAACACTATTGTTTAGGGTTTAGTGTATTTGTACGGTATTTTCAAACACAATGGAGCGTTAACCTTTTAGTGCCAGTAAGAACTTGGTCCTTTGTTCACTTCATGTTACCAGAAATTAATTTACAAACAAGGCACAATTCGATGCAGGATTTTCAGAAA